ACCCAGTGAGTCCCCAGCATCTTCAGGGTGGTGAAAACACCACATTCAGAAGCAGCAGCAGCTTACTCTCCTACTGGTGGGATCTGGAGCCTGGTAGATGGACATGGCCTTCCACTGACCACAGCCTCCTGTTCTCAACCTTGTTAGGGCCACTGAACTTGCCATGACGCATGGGGTTGAGGTCCACGGAGGACTCACTGAGGGAGGCTTACATCCACGTTGCCAGAGGTGAAAGCAGCTGTAATGACCTGACCCGGTGTAGCCCATCTCCAAGCCTCACCATGGGTCCCAGAAGAGGTGGCTGGTACATAAAACGGGACAGCTGGCTCTCAAGTGGGGAGCAACAGACAGCCTCCTCCGTTTCCTTCTGAATTTAAAACTCTAAGCTTCCTCTTCCTCCCCAGCTTCCTATGGCTAGAGGGAGAGGGATTAACTAAACAGATGGCCAAAACCTCTGGAATGAGCTCACTCACTCACTCACTCACTCAACTCATTCATCCATTCACTTATTCCACGGCCCACCATGCACCAGGCGTGTGCTAGGAACTGGGTTCTAACAGTGAGCTGAAGCAGTCAGGAACGTCCTGCTTAGTGGGGAAGATGGATGGCAAATAAGGAATTGCCCAAGTAAGTACTTAATTGCAATTATAACAAGTTGAGAAGGAAGAAAGTGGTTTGTATAGGGCAGTGCGCCTGGACACTTAACCCCCACGGGACTCGCCTGGGGCTCTTGTGGAAACGCAGACTCCAGGCCGGCAGGGCAAGAAAGCTGCCGGGTGGTGCTGACATGCAGCCCGGGAAACCACACTTCTGACTGGTGAGGGTTTGGGACTACTGGCTAAGCAAGAACTGCAAATTATTAAAAAGTATCCCAGTTCCAGGTTGGTAACCATAAATCTCCACTCGAGAAGTCACAAACTCAAATGCCTACGGGGCCGGGACATAATGGAAAGGATCAGGACATAAGATCCAATCAAGGCAACCAAAGCTAGGTCTGTGTGTGTGAATGCACACTTCTGTGTGACCAGGATTGTGTGAAGGAACTCGTGCGGAGACATTCACACTCTGTTCATTCATTTTTGTGCATTCATGCACCTACCGTGGGCCAGATCTACAACCCAAATGTCTGTAACATGTCAACTTAATGTTCTTCCCCCCCAAAAGCACATGGGCTTAAAGGGGTCAGACCCAAACACAAATCCTGACGCTGCAGCAGGGTAACTGTGTGACCTTGTGCCTGTCACTGCCTCTCTCTAGGCCTCGGTTTTCACATCCACAAGATGGGGCAATACCTCATAACCCGGCAGGCACCTGCCAAGTGGGAACCGCTCCACGCCAGGAGCTATTCTTAGCTTTCCGTTCTCTGGGGCCCTTGCTTAAGCCACTTGAATCCGGGAGCCCAATTTGAA